ATTAGTCAAATTTAAATAATTTTGGTTTGAATTATATTTAATTCGAGATGGATACCTTAGATGATTAAACCTATCACCTTACTTATAGCGAATAAATTAGATCAAAATTTTAAATTAACTCCAATTTTATCAAGTCTAATGAAAGTAAAAACTTATATCCTTGACATAGTAGTATTTATTATGGTAAGAAATTACCACATCGATGTTAACATAGTAATGATTAATGAAATTTAAACGAACACATGATGTCACTATTCATTTTTGGGTTTTTCATTTAGGTTAAAAAGATGAGGGCTAAAACTTTCATAGTGTAAGTTGAGGGACTGACACTCTCATAGTCAGTAAGGTGGAGGGCTGGCATGGATTTTCGCCTACGTAAAAACTAAAGTGAGCTAGAAAAACTGCTCTGAAGTTTAGACCCTTCCGCAGCTGCGTTCTTCCAAAGCAATTGACGCCTTTGAAATGGATTCTTCTCTCAATAAGGATTCATCTCCGACTGAAATCCCAGAATGCATCACCGGAAGCCCACAAACAAACTTTCATGATTCAGCTCCGGAAGTAACTGAAACTGTCGATGGACAGGACCAGTCGTCCAATCCTGAATCGAGGGACGATGCCAGCGCCGGCGAGAAACGCAAGCGAGAGGACCAAGACACTGCCCTCCACCCTTTGTGGAAAACTAGCCTCTGCTCTTACTTTAGGCGGCAGGCGGGGTCCTGCAGCCATGGTAGCAGCTGCAGGTACGCCCACGGTGAGGAGGAGCTGCGGCCGCGGCCGGATAATACGTGGGATCCCACGTCCGAGCGGGCGAAGAAGGCAATGAAAGTGGATAATGGGGACAAGTGTGAGGTGAGGGGAGGGGAGGTTCTGATGACTGAGATGGTTGAAGATGGTGATGGTGAAGACGGTGGAGATTCTCAGCTTAGTAAGTGCCTAGTGCATCTCCCTAGGAAATGGCATTCGGATAATCTGAGGAAGTTCCTCAGTGAGCAAGTAAGGATATTTCTGATATAGTGTTTTAAAATTTTGGGTTTTGTTTATTGAATTCAGTTTAGTATTTGAGAAGATGAATCATTTTCCTTTTTATTTGATTGCTTTCTTGAATGAAGTTTGAGGAATAGTTTTCTTTTGTTAGGGAGTTCTTTTTAAATCAGCAAAGAAGAAGAAAGGCATGGTTGTAGGTTTTGTGAGTTTTGAAAATGAAGAACAGTTGCAAACTGCAATGGAGGTATCTAATTCTCTCCTGTATGTCAAAATCAGTGAATCAGTGATTCATAAATAAACATATAATGTTTTTGACTGGTACTTTAAAATTTTTAATGAGGAAGGAGCTGGTGGGAAAGTCTATTGGGAACAAGAATCTAAAGGTTGCAGATGTGATACCCCAATCATTTGGGAAGAAAGTGAAATCAGCAACGGATCTACCACATAACTCTGACCAAACTATGGAAGATGCATCAGATAAGGAGAATGCAGGTGTCTCTGTTGCTGCAGTTGAGGTTGAGGATGGCACTGCAAATGATGATCCTTCAGCCTCAAGAGCAAAAAGTGCTCGTGATGCAGTGACTCCCTTTGCTCATATGTCTTATGATGATCAGTTGGAGCACAAGAAGAACTCTGTCATTCAGAATCTCAAAAAACTTGTCAGAAACACCTTGATCTTTGAGTTCCAGTTGCTTTTATTATGTATTTATGTGTGTTATGATTTTTTGCCAAGCTGACCTGTTTTTATTTTATGGGCAGACTAGAAATGCGCGTAAAGCTTGTCCCAATGGTGTTTCACTTCCAGAATGGATTCTCAAATCTAAGGAGATCGGTATGTTTGCTTCTTCTCCACTTCTAAAAGTAATCATCCATGAGACTAATTTGAACCAGGCCTTGTAGCCTAAGAGTTAATGGCTTAGGACTTAAGAGCTTGATGCCCTCAAGTCCTGAGTTCAACTCAGGCAGGTCAGCCAGGTCTGCCAGAAGCTCCCTTTTGGATATGGAGAACTGCTGGTGGTTGTGATTTGTGAAGCCCTTTCCCCCAAAGTTTTCTGTGTTCAAAAGGAAAAAATAAAAAAATAAAATCCATGAAACTATGTTGTATATGGCAATAAAATGAGTTGACAGTCTGATTAAGGTTGCTGAAAAATTATCTGCCAGTTTTTTTTCCTTAAGTTGGATGCCTCTTTTGGTATTCTTCCATTTGCATGGGAGATGAGACCAGTAAGGATTCTTATAGCTTTCCTCTTCTAAACTTGTGAAGGTGGTCTTCCATGTGAACTGGAGGGTGTAATGAAATCGCCATGCATTAATGGATACCGCAACAAATGTGAATTCTCTGTTGGATATTCCCAACAAGGCAAACCAACTGTAGGGTTTATGTTGGGAAACTTCAGGTATGACTATTAACTTGTTTCTAGAACCTTATGGGAGTTGGAACAATGTACCTAATTACTGGAACATTTCAGGGAGGGAGTGACAGCAGTTGAAGAACCCACAGGTTGCCCAAATGTTTCAACAATTGCATGCAAATATGCTTTGATCTTTCAAGAATTTCTGCAGAATTCAAGCTTGCCAATCTGGAATAGATTTAAAAATACAGGATTCTGGCGTCAGTTAACAGTATGTGTTCTTGTCAATTGCTTTAGTTTTACTTTCACTCTCTTGATGATGCTGTCATTGGAGTTGTTAATTGCATCCCTTCAGTTCTATGCTGGAGTGGTTTTCAACTCACTTTTTATTTCCTCAAATGTGTTATAAGGTCCGAGAAGGAAGATCAGCACGGAAGGTCCCTGCTGACAATTCTGAGGGCAGCATCTCAGAGGTCATGCTTATTGTTCAGGTTTGTGTTTAATACTCTAGTTTTTTTGAAACCATCATTCATTTGAGAAATTCCAATTGCTTCTTACCATACATGTTATAAAGGTCCATAAAAGTATAAGAATGAGTAGTGAATCTAGTAATACTAATTTTTTCTCAAGTTGGTATGGTTTAGTTGACTGAATGGGTAGACTAAGTTTTTCTTCATTTATTTGGAAGAAATGATTGGTACTGAGCACTGACAACAGACTCTTGCATTATATAAAATGATCAATTTCACCATCTTTCTCATTTACACTGTTGTATTTGCTAATTTATTTCTTTGTCTCATACTGATTGCATAGGTTTGTTCTGTTGGCTTTGATGATGCCCAAATAACCAGTGAATTTGAAAGACTAGCTAATTCCTTTACAGTGGGTGCTACTGCAAATAGTCCTAATCTACCTCTCACTGCTTTGGTTGTTCAGGTACTTGTCTCATTGCAATGATATCTTGTAATTGGAAAATCAGACATAACAGATTGCTATCTGGGCTTCTATATAGTTCTGAGGTTTTATTATAGGCCCTGAATTGATTATGGGATTTGCTGGACATATTAGCCAACCTTTTCTGCTGAGTTGTGATTCCTTTAATGATATTTTATGCTATCAATTTGTCTGAATGCCCTTTTATCCCTGTGTTATGCTCATTGGTTTTTATCTAGGATCACCAAGGAATATCAAATGCACCACCAGCTGATGCTCCACTGCATTTGTTGCCCATTCCGAACACAGAAGGTAGATCTGAACAGGAGACAGTTGTGAATGCTGTAGAAGCAAGAATTCATGATTATATAAGCGGTCTTCGTTTCTCTATATCTCCAACAGCATTTTTTCAGGTCAGGACAGTAGGATGTCATATGATTGCACTTTATCTTGCTTGGTTAGGTTAATAGAATGTCCTATGGTTGCATTTTATCTTGCTCAAAGAGGATCCTTTTTGCCAGTTATTTTGGATATTTTGTGATTTGTGAGTACAACTCTATTGCAGGTCAACACCCTTGCCGCTGAGAAACTATATTCACTTGCTGGGGATTGGGCTCGATTAAGTCCTGATACCTTGTTATTTGATATATGCTGTGGGACAGGAACAATTGGTCTCACTTTAGCTCATCGTGTTGGTTTGGTAATAACTGGACCTGATTATTCTTCTTGTTTTTAGCAATGTTACCTCTAGTAGCTCTAGATGTTGCATGTATCATGTAACAGGAGTTGTTTAGTGGTAAAATCAAAGCTATCATTCTGCAGAGATTGTGTTTTTAGGTTGCTACTTTGGAGTATCAATCACTGTTGCATTCAGTTAATATGTCTAAGAAGTAAGAGCAACTGGTTTCTCTCTTTACCTGCTATAAAAATATCTTAAACTTCTGTTGGCTTTGAAAATTTCAGGTTATTGGCATTGAAATGAATGCTTCTGCAGTGGCAGATGCTCACAGGAACGCTGAGATTAATGGAATAAAAAATTGTAGATTTATCTGTGCAAAGGTTGGATTATACATTTATCACTTTTTTTTTTTATGAGTCCTGTGATTGACATCAGATGCATTTAGTTATGAATTGCTAAAATAAAATGGTAAACCTTAAAAAGAAATCTTCCTGAGGAATTTCATGCTTTAAACTAATTCTTCTTCTGGGTTTTTCACTTTTTTGATGTGTCCATGGGGCAACAGGCAGAGGATGTGATAGGATCTCTATTGAAAGAGTACCTGAATATGTCTGAAAAACAAGATCAGCTTTCCGTTGCCTGCAAAAGTGCTGAAGAAACAATTTCCCCAGAAGAGAAAAAAGATCCCTCTGTGGATAACACAAAAAGTGCTGAAGAGAGCTCCTGTTGTGAGCCTCAAAATCACAAGGATCTCTCTGGCAGTTCACAAAATGGTGAAGAAGAGCTCCAGATTCAACTTCAGAAGAGCACCTCTTCAAAAGATGAAAATTCTTTGATGACTACCTTTAAAAATGTTGTTGCAATTGTTGATCCTCCACGTATGGGGCTTCATCCCATTGTAAGAAACATATTCTTCATATTCTGCTGGCACTGCTCTATGCTGTGCCTGGTTGATTATTCTAGTCAGTTGTTAAATATTTCCACTAAGAGTCTTGGCCTTTAATTGGTATCCTGGTAAAAGCAAAACCTACTTATATTGTTATTTGTTTTCTGAAAATGCAGGTAATCAAAGCTTTGAGGACTCATCCATGTCTACAGAGGCTTGTGTTAGTTTCCATTTTGACATTTGAGCTTGTTGTATGTTCTTTTCCATGCAATCAGACTTTAACCCTGTTTAATGTTCTATAGGTACATTTCCTGCAATCCCGAAAGCCTAGTTGCAAATGCTATTGAGCTCTGCACACCTTCTCCTCCAAAACTTGAGAAAGGGAAGAAAGATAACAGGGGCTGGAGGAATATGAGCAGTGCTGGATTAGCACGGCACAGAGTAAAATCTATGCCTATATCAGAGCCTTTCTGTCCTGTAAAGGCCATGGCTGTTGATCTCTTCCCACATACTCCCCACTGTGAAATGGTGATGCTGTTGGAGAGGTAGATTGGCCAGAACACTGGTGATGATTTTATATTCTCTGAGGCAACCATGACTAGAATTCAACAGATAAGTTAACCAACAGAAATTTTGATAGTGGTAGCTTCATATTGCTTCTTTCTCATTAACCTTTACAAATTTGCCTCAACTTTTGTATTTAAGTATATCAAAATGCTATAGTAATTATTCTAGTCAGAAATGGAATTCTCTATTTCCTGTTTCTCCCACAGTACACTTTTAGCTTATATCTGCATGGCTGGTGTCCTCACCCATCATAAATTTCAAAGATTGTAGACTCTCATAAAAATTGAAAGTGGAGTTTAAATTTACTAGTGATTGGCTTAGTGGCTAATTATGTGGGATTGTTACTGACTGACTGAATGGTGAGAGGTTTCCCTTTCCCTTGCCAGCTAGTTTCTGAGACTCCAATGCCTAACTTGGACTTAAAGATTTTCAAGGGCAGGGGCAAGCAAACTAACTAGTTGGTGGAACCTTAGATCACAATTTAGAGGGATGCTTCCACTCTAAGTTACACGTATTGGACCGACTTCAGCATAGGAACCCCACTCCCTAGCATTTTCTGTTTGACTCACCTAAATCACTTACGTGATGCACAACACCTCTTGTCTTGTCTTAGCTTCTTTATGTGCTATCTGATGTTAAGACATTCCTATTCTTTTTAATATTGATGATAAGAATATAAGATTAGGCATTGATTAACCACCCCTGTCTGCACTCTGTTTCTACTTTCTACCTGGTATTTTTTAACTTGCTGCTGCTTGCGTGGGGAAGGGGGATACAGGTACAAATCATACCCACTTGTAATTTTGAAAAGGCTAGTGGTTTCATATAGTATATACTTTAATAGGTATTACTGATCTTGTTAGGTCCATGTTTACCAGCCTGTATGAGGAAATATCTTTCTGCCTGCCTACAGCCTCTCTCAATCCTTCAAAACCTAATTCATGATTGTCTGAAATCATCATGTTCACCTTTACTATATTGCTTTTGGTTCATAACTCATATTCCTCTCTTTGCTTCCTCTTTTCAACACCTAATCATCAGTGCCAACCTGGTTTGTCTTTTTTCCTTGGTCTGGATAGTCATAATCTTTCCCAAAGTGATATTTACGCTGCGATTTGAACTTAAAATTGAGATCTGTTACTTTAAAAGTTTACTCAAATCCACCTCTCCCTAACCCTTTTAATGGGGTCTATTAGGAATCTCATATCTTGTCTGATTCCTCACAATATGCTTTCTTAGTCATACACAAACTTCACCAGATAATGATTCTATTATTCTCCAATGTGGGGTTGTCAGTTTCTTCCATTTCCTCCCTTGCTTTTCCACAGCTGTTAGCATTGTAGACATGAAAATACCTTAAAATTATTGTTTATCTCCATTGTCCCCACCACCATACTCGGAACTAGGAAGGAAAAGGGAAGCTCTCTTTTCAACTACTTGACCACCGTCTTCCACTTAAAACACCTAGTATTACTTTCTTTGATTATAGAATTCCCAAGTGGGATTTATCTCATTTTGACTCCAATAATCATTTTCATCCACAAATCACATGGTTCAGATTAAATAAACGAACATTGATTTTATTTAAATAATAAAATTTGTTAAAATATTTGTAATACTTAACAACGAACTTTTAATATATATATATATATAAAGGAGTAAAATTAGATTCGAGTTTTAAATGGTCTCTTATAAAGTTATACTACTTGCTTTATAAAGTTGTTCCTTTTGGAATTATTATTTTTTTTTTCAATTTTGAAAAACAGAGAATTTTAAAGATGAAAATTCTGTCCCGCCTTGTTGAACAAAAATCTCTTTGCATCTTTTTTGTCGTAAAAGCAAAAGCTGAGGCTTGTGTTCCGCTTCCTTTTTTTAAGCTTCCAATTCCAAAGCACATTGACAAAGTCGGCCCAAGAAAATAATAAAGAAAATAGATTCACAAAACAAAAGTATTCTTTAATTGATTCTCTAAATGATCTGTCAATTACCTAAAATAAGGGATCCAGAGACAATTGATTTTTATTTTTATTTTTATTTATTAAATGAAAAAATTTTACATCAAATATAAAAATAAAAATTTATGGATTAAATATAAAAAAATCACTTTACATGATACTAATTGATTTTAAATTAAATAAAAATTTTATATTAAACTCACATTTATAATTTTCACATGATATCAAAATTCAGATTCTGTTATGAAAAGTCCGTTATTAACCTACCAAATAATGAAGTTAAAGGTATTGGGCCTACATTTAAGAAGATGTGTTGATCCATGTGATAAGACTCGACATTCATAACGAGTTTACACATGAATGAGTTTACACATAAAAGGTAGGTTAAATGAAAAAATCTCATATCAAATATAAAAATAAAAAACTTTAAAATTAAATACAAAAAAAGTAACTTCACTTATTACGAATTGATTTTAAATTAAAGATAAGTTTTGTGTTGAATTAAACATATACAATTTTCACAATATTTTTTATGCATGAAAAATCGAATAAAAAAAAAAGGCACCTTTTAATCAATTGGTGAGAATTGAATTCTTTAACCTTTAAATTCGAAGGATCGATTCATAATTATCTTTTATTATGCACCTAATATTAAAAAAAATTCTCTAAACGATAATGGAATCACTGATTAATTCCACGTGGCTGTCTTTGTCGAATCCTCATAAGGATATATGGTGGCAACGTGGCAGCGGAATTGGTGAAAACAGTCTCGCCTTTGTCCGTAGGGTGCATCACGTCTATGTCTACCCTTTAATTTTTCTTTTCTTTTTTTTTTTTTGAAAAATGAATATCTAAAGAAATAGGATTTGATGAAAATCAAAAGTTAATTAAAATATTAATATTGATAATAAAAATTTTAAAATATTCTTTATGAATCTAAAAAAATAGAATTGGATGAAAATCAAAAGTTAATTAAAATATCAATATTGATAATAAAAATTTAAAAATGTTCTTTATGAATCTAAAGAAATAAAATTGGATGAAAATCAAAAGTTAATTAAAACATTAATATTGATAATAAAAATTTTAAAGTATTCTTTATGAATCTAAAGAAATAGAATTTGATGAAAATCAAAAGTTAATTAAAATATCAATATTGATAATAAAAATTTTAAAATATTCTTTATGAATCTAAAGAAATAGAATTTGATGAAAATCAAAAGTTAATTAAAATATTAATATTGATAGTAAAAATTTTAAAATATTCTTTATGAATCTAAAGAAATAGAATTTGATGAAAATCAAAAGGTAATTAAAATATTAATATTGATAATAAAAATTTTAAAATATTCTTTATGAATTAATTTGAGTGTGGTTATAATTATTAATAAAATTGTTAAGGTTATTAAATTTGTGTTTAATTTAATTGTATTTATAATTTTTTAAATAGATAATTATGATATTTTAAAATATTAATTTATAAATGAATTTTAATTTATTAAATAATAAAAATAAACTATTCTACTAGTTTTAATTATTTTTAATAATTAAATTATTATTTTTTAACACAATTTTAGTGGTTTGAATAATTTCATTAATAGTGACAATTACACATCTACAAAGATGGATAAATAAAAGAACTACAATCAAATATACCATTGCCACATCTCGTTGAAGAATACAAGTTTTTCTCTTTTTTTTTTTCTTTTTTTTTTCTTTATCTTGCTTGCACAAGAAAGACAATCATCTCACATTCTTTATTCTACCATACTCATATGTTATGCAATTCGAATTTAGAATCTTTTAGTTTTAGTGAAAGGAAATGACTACTAAACCATTTAAGTTGTTTTCAAAGAATACAAGTTTAGATTTATGCTTAATAAGTGTAATTTTGTAAATGAAATTTAGTATTTAAAATTTGAAACTAGTATCACTTGGAAGAATTTTTTTTTTAATTGTACAAGATGAATGTGAATGTATAATTTTAAAATTGTTCCAAGAAAATAATATTAAATTGTGCATTTAGTTACTAGGAGAATTCCTTAAGAGCCAAAAAAAAGAAGGAAAAAATTGCTTTTAAAGGTTGTACTTAAATGGTAAACATATTACATTTTCTTAAATTAAAAGTGGTTAGGCCATATGGGGTCTCATCAAAGAAGCTGCTGGAGAGTCTCCGTGTAGTAGTAGGAGACTGGAGGGGGTGTGTGAATGTGACTGAGTCTGAGGGGAGTGGGAAGGAGCAGTTGCAGCACTGCGTTAGGCCACCTTTCCCATCATCCTTTGCCATATAAATCAGCAAATCGAGCTCCTCTTAATCCTTGTTAATTACTTTTCTTTCTTTTCTCACACTATTCAAGATAGACCCATAATAACACTCTCTCTCCAACTGTCCCTCTTCCTCCTTTCCTTTCAATTTAATTTGGGTTTGGAATTTGGAATTGGATACCCTTTTTTCGCTTCCTGGGTTGCTGTTTTCTCTCGTTTCTTGATTTGTATTCTGGGTAATGGGGACTGAGGAACATGACGCTGGTGGTGCTAGTGCTAATGCTAGCCAAGGAACTGTCGTTCCCGTATATAAGGTAATATTCTTTCTGCTTCCTTGTTCTGCTTTCAGCTTTTTGTCTAATTCTTTCATCATCTATATGGAAAAGGTGAAATTTTTATGTGAATTGCATATGGCAGCCTTTAAATTTTGGTTTTATTTGCTGTCAAGTGTGTGTTTTTTTTGGTTCTCAAGTCTTGCAACAAAAAGGGTGCATGCGATTGGGGAAAGGGTCTCTCTTTCCAGGAGGTTCAACTTATGTTTTTGAATATGTTTGTTTTTCAAGAGTAATTTTCCCCACGTTGCTATAAACATATTCAGAAAATAGGCTGAAATATAGTTTAACAATTTTAGTTAGGAACTTAGGATAAGCATAAGATCTGTTTCTATTTGATAGGAAATTGTACGAGTGAATATTGAATTTCATGCTAATACAAAGACATGATCCTTAAGTTATACAGAGAAAGCAATCAAAAGCAATCCGAATTACTGTTCAGCTTTAATTTGGAAGATGATTCTCTTTGTACATGCAATAGATTCATGAAACTCAAGTTGTGGGATGCTGGGTTGAGATCATGGGTTCAAAATGTGAGGAAGTTATTCTTGCAAATTTCTCTTATCCAGTGCTCTTTTTCAGGCTGAAAGCTCGGCTGGAATAACTGAAGAAATAACCCATGTTCATCATTGGAAGAAAAGGAACCTATTCTTAGAGATACCCTCAAGAAGTTTGGTAGAGTCCTCTGAGGATTCTGTTGCCATAAAGATGCTCCCGACACCTAGTCCAACCCCAAGGAGAGTAAATTTTCTCTTGACACCCAGTCCAAATGGTGGAAGAATTAGTGAATCTCCAGGTCCCTCCACATCTAGAGGGAAATCATCCTTGAAAAGTCTCTTACCAAAGCTGAGCTTCAAGTACAAAAGTTCTAATGCAGATATTGAGAAAGCTGTGAACCTTGCTTCAGAAACATCTTCTGCTTTGCAACAAGAGAAGCCTTCAATCACACGGACATTGTCACTTACAAAGTTATTCACTCCTAGAATGAAAAGAACTTCGTCACTACCAGTAACACCTATTGCACATTCAAACCCAGAATCTTTACATGGTGCAAGTTATGGTGGTTCTCTGAATTCAAGTGTAAGTTTATGTGTTGTTGTCTTTACTATCAGTAACATAATTTATAGCATTGACAGGAATGGTGGTGCAAACATTAGAGATATAGCTTCATGCAATTATAAATTGAATTCTTTTAAATTGATGCATAGGAGCACTGGAGTTTGTTACTATAATTAATTATGGAATCTGATTAACACATTCATCTTGCCATTTGAAGCCGATGTATTCGTTAAGAGTAGAGTTACCTACTTGTAAGCATAAGTCTCTAATCTTTAGCGGAGCAAGGTTATCTCCATGAAAGGTTTTAAGGTTCCATTGATTCAAGTTGCTAGTTTCTTTTGCAGAGAAAAGGAACCCCACGAAAAATTTCTCGGTCCCTTTCAGTTCCTGTAAACAACAAAGAAGGAGGCTTGAGGAGAATGGATTCATTTTTTCGAGTAATTCCCACAACTCCGCGGGTAAAGGAAGGAGAAATAATTTCAAGTGCATGTGAATCTTCCACCATGGATGCTGGTATTTTCATTTTCTTATAGTTATTTGATGCATGTATCTAGTATGCACATAGGCACCATAATTATAGCACTAGACTGCAGTATTCAAATCTTCCAAATTCCCTAACTTCCTTTGCTTGCCAAGATGAGGAAAGCATGAGGTACAAAGCCTGTTTAATTTGATCACCAACCAATATCTAATCAAAGTCTCATGATTCAGCTGAAAGTGACCCAAATGGTGAAGACATACCTGAAGAGGAGGCTGTTTGTAGGATTTGCCTGGTTGAACTGTGTGAAGGAGGTGAAACACTGAAGATGGAATGCAGCTGCAAAGGAGAACTTGCTTTGGCCCACAAAGAATGTGCTGTAAAATGGTTTACCATCAAGGGTAACAAAACCTGTGATGTATGTAGGCAAGAAGTTAAGAACCTACCTGTTACTCTTCTACGGATCCAAAGTTGTCGAATTCGCAATGCTGGAGCAAGAGCCATTCAAGAAGATGTTAATGGATACAGGTAATTAACTATTTGTTAGTTGTTACTTTCTTTCTTAAGGAATGAACCCTGTGGACCACATGGTTAAACAGAACCTGAAGACTGTACATGGCAGTTGAAAATAAAAACATGAAATTATAGAGTAGCTTTCCTTCCCATAATTTGTCAAGATTTGATTGAGGCATTATTCTCAGTTTATTTTTATTAGCAGGGAAAAAGGATGTAATAGTGATGACAAATGCCATTAGCTTCTGAAATGATAACTGAGAGTGATGCACTTAAATATCTTTTGTCCATCTTTGCCCTCTGACAGCACGTATGGAGTTTTCTTCTCTCCTAGGTAGTGTCAGTCAGTTGCTAAGAGTTCTATGATGTTTCACTCTGTAAATTGCACTAATGGCAAGAATATGTACTTTAAAAGGGCTTATTTCAGACCAGCCAGATTAAGACCAGTCTTTTTTGTTGTTCACCTGGTCAAAATAAGAAAAGTTAGATGGTATGATTACCCACTCAAACTGTTATTTCAATGTTCATGTGCCATTAATAGGTTATAATTCATTTTTTTGTAATGTCTTTTGCTCCTATAGGGTCAATAGGCTGAGATGCTTAGCTTTTGTTCCATTAAGTAAGTATGGCGTACCCATAGTAAAGATTGAAAAGATGCTAATGCAATTGTTCTTTATCATGTCCTGTTTGATTTCCATGTTTTGAAGCTTGTCAAGTATAAATGAAATACACCTTGAACTTATTGGTTGAAATCTTCTTAGGGTTTGGCAGGAAGTACCAGTGCTTGTTATTGTCAGCATGCTAGCATACTTCTGCTTTCTTGAGCAACTTTTGGTAAGCTAGTAGTTTTAATTTCACATTCAGAAGTATCCAAGATACCCATTTTACCATTCATCTCGATGACATCTATATGCATGTAGGTCGGCAAAATGGGGACTGGTGCAATTGCTATTTCTCTTCCATTTTCTTGTGTCCTAGGTCTCCTTGCATCCATGACTGCTTCAACCATGGGTAAGCTAGCAAAGATCCTTGAGCTAGTATTTGATTAATATTTGAACATCCAGTCCAAGGATTTTACATGGAAGAGATCCCTTGTGGATTGGCAAAAGAGACCTGTGGGATATTTTAATAACACACCCCATAAACACCTCTTTGGGTTTCACCATTCAGATGAGGCAAGCTAGAAACCAGTCTACTTATATCAATATGAGTGTGCAAATGTACACTCATGTAAACCATAATAGACTAGGCTGATAAATGCCTGTGCACTAATGTCTGTCACAACTGTGACATTCGATGATATAGTGAAATGGTGATTCAAAACTTCTTTATTAACCCTGCCATTAAGTTCTCTGACTCAACGTTTCATTTTTGTGTCTAGTGAAAAGAAGATTTGTCTGGTTTTATGCATCAATACAATTTGCGCTGGTGGTTTTCTTTGCTCATATATTTTACTCCTTGGTAAGTAGTGTCTCTACCCAAATCTCTTTCATCTTGAGCTTGACTTCTGTCTACATGACATCTCATACAATTTATTGTAATGCTTTCTGAATTACAGGTTGATGTGCAAGCAATTCTATCAATTCTCCTGGCAACATTTGCTGGATTTGGCGTTGCAATGAGTGGGAGCTCCATCCTGGTCGAGATCCTGAGATATAGAAGACGATGGCAAGCTTGGTCAGAACAGCAACGGCAGCAGCAACATGTTTCCCAACCCATGACACCATTCCAACCCCATACAAGTTCCCATGCAAACCGCCAAACCTTTGTTGAAAATGCAGAAGCTCTTGGTGGAAATTGAATTAAATTGCTCTCTTCTTGGCTTGTTTAGTACAGTAGTCATTTAAGCATCCAATGGGAAACACATACTGTAGTATATCTTTTTTATGATTAGGGCAAGTGGTTTGAGGGGAGGGGAGTAGGAGGGGATCGAACCCTTGCCATAGTGAAGAAGGCTTATATTAAACTGTTAGATCACTAGGTCGGCAGGTCTTTTTCATACTATAGTATATCTTAGATAGAGTTTTGTATACACCTTATTTTTTTTCCTTTAAAGATCTGTACCAACACCATAGACAAGAATATTCATCAACAAATATTTGCTATTGGTGATTTAAAGATAGGTTAATTCCTCAATTTAGTTTTTGAATTATTATATGGACGCTTAATTTGATTTTTGAATTAAAAAATTTTTTAATTTGATCTTTAAATTATTGTATGGACATTTAATTTGATTATTACTATTTATCAATTTATCCAAGTTGGTCTTTTTATACAAAAATTGATGTATTTTATTATTAATGTGACACATGGTTGTTAAGTTATTATTTTTTACTTGTTAAGTTATTATTTTTTGTCATTAAATAATGGATATATTAGTTTTTTTTGTATGAAAAGATCAACTTGGAGTAAATTAGTAAACAGCAAAAACCAAATTGGTGTCCGTGCAATAATTCAAGGAACAAATTAGGAATTTTTTTAGTTCAGGGATCAAATCGGGGGTTTCTATAATAGTTTAGGGACCACATTAAAGGTTTAACCTTAAAGATATGATTTTTCTATATTAAATTATTTATTAGTTGCCAAATTGGACTTTTTTGTCCTCTATTACCGTGGGATTACGGTGACATACAGTGCCAAATTCTAAAACTTTCATTGTCTATTATAAGATTCGGTTTGAATTTTTGATAAAGAAAATTTTATAATAAATCTTAAAATGATTTTTCACAACCTCAAATAAATAAAAAATGTTAATAAAAATTATAAAAATACTATAATTACGATCTTAGGGAAAATAAAAATTTAAAAAAAAAAAAAATAATAAAAAAATAAATTTGACAAAAAAAAATTATTTATAATATTATATATATTTATTTAAATATCACAAAATACACTTTTAATATCACATTATAATTATGAATTTATTATTATATATAATATTATAATTCTAGTATTATTATAAAACTTAGGCCTTTGGTCCCAAAAGAAACCTTTTTTTTTTTTATTTATAATTTGTTTGGGGTTAAATTTTTTTTAATTTTATCTTTATTACTTAACTTTAAATGTCTATTTTGTTATTAAAAAATCTCTTTTATCTTTATCACTTAGTTTAAAAGCAATATAAGTAAAAATTAAAATTATTCTTAAATTTTAAATTTTAAGATAAAATTAAAAAAAGCTTCTATTATTCATTGTAAGATTTTATTATAAAAAAATATTTAAAAATCATTTTCCCATAAAATTTCATGTATGGTACTATTTCAATCTAACTAAATAAAAATGAGTCTTTTACCACTCTCTCTTTTTTTTTTTTTTAACGGATGATAATATGGAAAAGGGGAATTAGAACCCAACCCCTACGGTTGGGATACACTTTACAAAGAAATATATTTTTTTATAATTAATTTATATTAAAAATATAAATATAAATATTAATTTAATTAACTAATTAAAATCATATAAATATATTATAATATTAAAACATATATTAACTTTTATAAATTTTAATATAAATTAATTATAAAAAATATTTATTATACTATTAATCAATATTCTTAACCCACCCAATAAAAATTATCGAATAAAAAATATTTCAAAAACACTTATTTATTTGTAATTTAATAATTATTCAAGCGGTCCATTCACAATGAATACAAAAGTTGTTAGATGTTGACATTAGTAGTTACTGAGGTGACCAACAAACAATAACACTCGATAAAATCATGATTCACGTTTAAAATAGCACGTGACAGCTTGTCAAAAAAAATAAAAATAAATAACACGTGACAGTAGATCGTCAAATTGGAGCCGTTGGATTGGCCAAGGTCAGGCGGCCTAAGACAACAGGGTAGGCTGCATGTGCACCACGTGGCTGCATTTTAGGAAATTTTGGGCTTTGGCTTTCGCGGGAATTAAAAACAACGGAAACTCCGGAGATTCCTTTACGTCGGGTCGGGACCGTCGCTAAAAATGCTGTGTTAGTACTTTTTTTGCATTGAAGGCCCCTTTTATCTTGTCTAATTATGTTATTCGACGTTTCTATTTCCCCTCTTTCATTTTTGTCCTCTTTGTAAGTTGTTTAAAATTGTGTGTTAAAAAGATCAAAATGGGTTCTTATCCTTGCCCCATTCCTTACTCTTACTCAATGGAGATATATATATAGGTAAATTAGAGAAAAAGATTTGCATAATAGAATAAACCGTACGTTTTGTATATTAATTAATATAGAAAGAAATATAAGTTGATATTAATTTTAAATTGTTAAATTAAATTTATTTAATGACATTTCTCTCTTTTTTATGAGGTAATGGTAAAATTGAAATATTTGTATTTAATATCTTATTAAAATGAAAAGTGAAATATGTAAATGAGACCATCCTTATTTAAAAAGTGCATTTATTATACTTTTAATTTGTTCTATAAGAATCTGGGTTAAAAAAATTCTATTACTTCTTCTATTTAACTTTAATTGACTTAATTTCTAATATTGAATATTTAAAATTAATTGGTTTTTAAGATATTATTTAAAGCATTTATTTTTTTACCCTTATTTACAACAAATAAGAAGACTTTTCTAAGTAATATAGTTAGTTAGAGATAAGTATGAAATTTATCAATTAATTGTTATATTTCTATTTTATTAGAGAAAAAAAATTACACAAACTAAAGTTAAATGGAGAAGTCTAAAATTTGAAATAAAATCATCTTAATATTTTATAAACAAGTCTTACACCTAAATTTGTAAAATCTTAACCCTTTATCTTCTCTTTCCTCTATGAACTATTGAAATTTATGGTTACTTTTTAATCTTTTTTTAAAAAAACATAGTGATCTCTGAAAAATAAGGAAATATCTCGTTTGATTTAAGGTAAACAAAGACAGAGAAAGGAGAGGTAATCTTATTTTTACCCATTAAATTAAATTCGTTGCTCAAACCAAACGCATCATCAAGATGGGACTAATAAGCAACAATTAAAAGAATAGGAGTCAAATTTACAAATATCACATGGTATCAACCTTCCTCTCTTGGGTGGGGGCTACGGATAAGTAGAACAGGGTCGATGATGTATCCTCAAAAAAAACGTTTTCTGTATTGTTACACTCACCTTTACATAAATTTCTCAGGCAATCCAAAATTTCCACCAAATTTTCCAAAAATTCATTGCAGGCATCTTCTCTTAGAGTCTCCTCCGCTCCGATCACCACTTTCGTTTTCCTCCGACGGCCTCTTGTTCGTGGCCGGTGTATTGCTGCTGAAGGTAAGCCATCTTGAGCTCACTACTTTTAGCTTCTTCTAATTGGTTTGAAATAGGAAGTTTCGGAAGTTATGATCAATGGTGTTCGACTGATTCTTTTGATGTTTTTGTGTTCTTGATTTGCTAGGCAAGGTTTAGGCTGCTGCTCTGTGGAAATGGCGACTGTAACTATACCAGCTTCGTTTCCGGGTTTGAAAGGCAGGGATTCGAGTTTTGGGTTTGGGAGAAGTTTGGATTTTGCGAGAGTTTCTGATTTGAAGAGAATTAAGTATCCCAGAAGGAAAATCTCTGTGATTCGGAATTCAAATCCTGGTCCTGATATTGCTGAACTTCAGCCTGCTTCAGAAGGGAGCCCTTTATTAGGTATAATTTCAGTGGAACTCAGGGATAATGAGCTTGTATCAAAGTTTCCTTTTTTGCTGCATAGGGAATTGTCACCAGGCATGCATACTTAATATATGATATATCTTGCCAGGTCTAATGGTAGTTTCTTTTTTGTTTGATTAATTCATTATTTTATCTAGTTCCTAGGCAAAAGTATTGTGAATCCATACACCAAACTAACAGGAGGAAGACAAGGACAGTAATGGTTGGAAATGTTGCTCTTGGTAGTGAGCATCCTATAAGGATTCAAACTATGACTACAACTGACACTAAGGATGTCTCTGCAACAGTTGAACAGGTTCTTAACTTTTTTTTCTTAAGCTTATGAAGAATGGATACATGTCACTTCTCCTGCATATCTAGCGTTAATGTGTAATTATATATATTGAATGTATTGCTGTGATTTGGACTAGGAGAATCAGAGGCTCTTGTATTTTAGGTTGATCTGGTATGAGTGCTAATGTTTGTCAACGGCTGTTTTTTTTTTTTTTCTTCTTTTTTTGTGTGTGTGTATAAATTTTGGAGTAATTACCAGTATTTCCATATTTTGTTTTGACTTTCTGGACCAATAAAATTAACAAGCTAGGCGTAGTCAGTGGAGGTCATTGCACATTTGAATCCTAGGCATAGATATTGCTTTTGAGGCCAAAATTGATCATCTTGACAAATTTCAGATCTTTTGGAAAATATAATCTAAATGTGTGCTTTCTTTCAACAATTTTAATAGTTTCAGTTCTGTTGGTAGGTCATGAGAATTGCAGACAGAGGAGCAGATATTGTGCGGATAACTGTTCAAGGAAAGAAAGAGGCAGATTCATGCTTTGAAATCAAGAATTCCCTTGTTCAGAAAAAGTAGGCCTGATTATAATACACACTCTTTTTGAAACTTAAGTTGCACCTTTAACATGGTATCATCGTTAAGCTACTTTCTATTACTGCAGTTATAATATACCTCTGGTGGCAGACATTCATTTTGCTCCTTCAGTTGCTTTGAGAGTTGCTGAGTGCTTTGACAAAATTCGTGTGAACCCTGGAAATTTTGGTAAGTAATTGACGTATATTATTGTTTTTAGACATGGCTAGAAGATTGCTAGAAGTCATTCTAAATTTTAAAAGTTGTGAACTGCAGCTGATAGACGAGCTCAGTTTGAGACATTAGAGTACACTGAAGAGGAGTATCAGAAAGAACTGGAACATATTGAGGAGGTCAGGACCACTTTCATATATGGCCACTTGAAATCGTTTAGCCTACTCTGAATTCTTATTTTGGGGTGTATGAAATTCAATGCATGTTCATGTATATATGGACATCAGGGAAGAATGATAATTTAAAGGAAGCAGAATAAAGGGGTAAAATAGGAAGCAATGGAGATCCTTGTATGACAAACTTTTCTCATTCATCATATAACGAATCAGAAGAAGTTCGCAAATTGTATTGCATTCATATCTTTTAAGCAGAATGTCTGCAACCAATCATGTTTGTTTGCAGGGGAAGCACAAACATTAAATCCCCATTTTTTTTAACTGTTTGCCACTGCTGTCTCATGTTAGCAGACACACAAGCTGCACAAATAGACTGATTTCTTTTTCATTTTTTCTGAAAACTACTCTAGGTGTTCACTCCATTGGTTGAGAAATGTAAGAAGTATGGAAGAGCTATGCGTATTGGTACAAACCATGGGAGCCTTTCAGATAGGATAATGAGCTATTATGGGGATTCTCCTAGAGGAATGGTAAACAACCTTCTCTCTTTATCGCCTAAGAGCTTTCAAGCTTTTTTTACCCCAAAAAAACTCAGTTTATCCTATTAATGGGCATTTGTAAAACAGGTTGAATCTGCATTTGAGTTTGCAAGGATATGTAGGAAGCTGGACTTTCATAATTTTGTATTTTCAATGAAAGCCAGCAATCCAGTTGTCATGGTCCAGGCATACCGTCTGCTCGTAGCTGAAATGTATGTACATGGCTGGGATTATCCATTACACTTGGGAGTCACTGAAGCCGGAGAAGGTGAGGATGGGAGGATGAAATCTGCCATTGGCATTGGGACCCTTCTTCAGGTAACTTCATCACCTAAACTGCAAATATAACACAATGAATTATCCTCGATTTTCCTGCCAAAAGAACTGTCACCAATCTTCAAAATTGTTATGTTATCCTGCTTCAATGAGTTCTGCTGTTACTTTAATTGTACTAAAGTTATTAGATAAGTTTACCATTTCTTGGTATTATGCTCTTATATCCGCACATTTGTATAGGGGGTGTGAATACAATTATGGGACTCTGGGTGTTAGAATATGTTTGTTAGAAACAAGCAGAGAATCTTTCCACTTTGTGCATCTGTATATCCAGCTTTTGCCCTTCTATCCACATTCTCCTGTCAATTTTCATAGTTGTTTTCTGGATATGCAAAACTGTCTTATGGCCATATCACTAAGCTGCTTTATTGTTTGCAGGATGGTTTAGGTGATACGATCAGGGTTTCACTCACAGAACCTCCGGAAGAGGAGATAGATCCCTGCAGAAGGTTGGCTTACCTTGGTACGAGAGCTGCTCGCCTCCAGCAAGGAGTGGTAGGATCCTATAATCTTCTTTAACGAGTTAAGACAATGAATTTTGAGTACTGTTTCAACTAAAACCACTAAAATTATCTCCATCAGGCACCTTTTGAGGAAAAGCACAGACGTTATTTTGATTTCGAGCGTAGATCTGGTCAATTGCCAACACAAAAGGAGGTTAGTCTTCAACTTCTGTACAATACTGTTGGGTGATATGGTCCCTGTTCTATTTATGCATTTTGAACTGAGAATTTGTTCTTATCTTAAGCACAGGGTGAGGAGGTGGATTATAGAGGTGTCCTGCATCGTGATGGTTCTGTTCTTATGTCAGTTTCCCTGCATCAGTTGAAGGTAAGCATGCCACAGTACTCTTCCCTGATTAAAAGAATCTCTTTAATTCTTTTAATTTTCTCAGGCTCCAGAGCTCCTCTACAAGTCACTTGCAGCTAAGTTGGTTGTTGGCATGCCATTTAAGGTAAATTCTTCTGCACTTACATGAAAAGATTTCGTTTCATTACATCATGTTGGTTATTTGCCATAATTTTATTGACACATGTTCATTTAGGATTTGGCTACCGTAGACTCGATCTTGTTGAGGAAGCTTCCCCAAATAGATGATAATGATGCTGTAAGAGCCAACTTCTCTATTGCATGGTTACCTCTGGAAAAGAAATCCTGTCTCTCTCACTGATCCTAATTGCTTATATATATATATATATATATATTTATATTTATTACTTTTTTTACCACAAGTGGAAATGACACCTACTATTCTTTATATCATAAGCAGCGTCTAGCTCTCAAAAGGTTGATAGACATAAGCATGGGGATTATAGTTCCTTTGACCGAGCAACTAACAAAACCTTTGCCCAATGCTATGGTTTTGGTAAATCTCAAGGAATTATCAACTGGAGCTTACAAGCTTTTGCCAGAAGGTGCTGCTTTCTCCTAATTTTTTGAATTTCAGGTTCTTGATGGAAACATCAGCATCCTTTTGCTTCCCTGTTTATATAATTCCATTATTTTGCAGGCACACGTTTGGTTGTCTCAGTACGTGGTGATGAGCCCAATGAAGATTTGGAAATCCTCAAAGCTATTGATGCTACAATGATCCTTCATAGCCTACCCTATGACGAAGAGAAAAATAGCAGAGTGCATGCAGCAAGGAGGTAATCATGTTTCTGACTTGTAAATATGTGATTTAGTAGCAAATTCACAGTATTCTGTAACAACACACAATAGATAATCCTTGTTGAGGTGGCTTGTTTTAAATGAAAGGAAGAAGTTGATACACATTTCCTGCATCTCCTGATAACTTGAACATGACATGTTGCAGGCTATTTGAGTATCTAGCTGACAATTCTCTGAATTTCCCTGTCATTCACCATATACAGTTTCCAGAAGGGATTCATAGGTAAGTAAAAACTCATACTGCTTATTGACTAAGATTGAAGATATTGCTAGTTTTGACTTACACTATACTCTTTGACTTGCAGGGATGACTTAGTTATTGGCGCTGGGACAAATGCAGGAGCCCTCCTTGTGGATGGCCTTGGAGATGGTGTCTTATTAGAAGCCCCAGACCAGGATGTTGATTTTCTTAGGAATACTTCTTTCAACTTACTACAAGGGTGCAGGATGAGAAATACAAAGACGGTAAAAATCATAATGAGAACTTGACATGAGACAGAGCAAGAACAATCAGGAAAAGTAGCTAACAATGGTTTGAGTTGCAGGAATATGTCTCATGTCCATCTTGTGGCAGAACTCTGTTTGATCTTCAAGAAATAAGTGCAGAAATACGAGAAAAAACATCACACTTGCCTGGTGTTTCTGTAATTATTCCATCTCTTCCCTGAATTTCGATGGTGTTGTTTAATCTGCCTCATTTTGACTATCAATATCAATGATGTCGTTTCTTTAATTTCCTCTTTCTAGATTGCAATTATGGGTTGCATCGTCAACGGTCCTGGAGAAATGGCTGATGCAGATTTTGGTTATGTTGGTGGTGCCCCCGGAAAGATTGACCTCTATGTTGGCAAGGTATGAATGCTTTACCCGCTGCTTTACACTTTATCTCTTATATGCGCTCATCATTTCACTGTTATTATCGAATACTTATTAAGTCTCCAAAAAGAGAACAAAAAATTTTTTTTTTTGATGCTATACAAGAAAGGAACTACCACTAACCAACAGAGCCAGCGAATCACCCTCTCTATGGGATGGAAAATGATGTGTGCACACTCGGATCCAACATCCGGGTGTGCACACTCGGCATAAAAAAAAAAAATGATCCAACACCCGGTCCATTTTTTTTTTTTATGTGGAGGGTGCACACCCGTGTTGGATCTGGGTGTGCACCAATCATGGTCCCTATGGGATTGGGTGTGATACCTTCTTAACTGAAAAGTGGAACTTAACTAGAGCTTAGATTCAACTGAAAATCAGCATCATAGCCTACTGAAAGTTGAATTGAATTTTCAGACGGTTCTGAAGCGTGGGATTGCAATGGAGCAAGCAACTGATGCTTTGATCCAGTTAATAAAAGATCATGGACGCTGGGTGGAGCCTCCTACAGAAGAGTAATTTCAAGAGCTTGTATGCATTTCACAGACCAGAGACTATGGTACTAGACTGTGAAACGGAATCACCATTCCCATCCTTGTACGTAGCAAGATACCAAATAATAAACGGTATAACAGCAGCTCTAGAAGTTCAGTTCATTTGTACAAGATCAGAGCTACTTTTTGGCTGCAGCATAGAATGCACCTCATGTAGCTAAATATGCATGCAAAATTTATATTTACATAAAACCTACAAGGGAGCCCTCATTTTGAACCAAAAGGACATCGAATGGAAATAAACATTTTACACACAGTGTCTTTTCGGAGACTTGTATTGTGAAGCACGTGCGTCAAGATCTCAGGTTTTATTATTTACATTTTTTATTACTATTCTCGTCCTTTTCTGCCCCAGCTGAAAAAAAGGAGCTTTTTAAGTTTATAGGCACAAGCAGAAGCAAACATCACTTTAAGAGCATATTTGAATTAGTTTGTAAGAGTTTTAATTTTTTTTTTTATATTATTTATGAGTGATAAGTTTAAATTTTTATTAAAAAAAAATTTAAAAATTATTTTTAAAAATAAAAAAAAAGTG